AATTTATTATAATAATAAATTAAATTGATATAACTTTTATAACTATTATTATTTTAGTCTCTCTAATATATATGCATGTTTATTATATATAATTAAAATTTACCATAATTTATATATAAATAAATACTATATTTGAATATATAAATTATATTTTAAATTTATAAAAAATAATTTATATTGTAACAAATTTTAATAATTTATTTTAAAATATTAATACTTAATTCATAAATAATTATGATAAATAAAAATCAAATTATATAAGAAATTAAAATAATCCCTACAAACTCTTTCATTAAAGAAAAATTTCTAAAAATACTCTATAGATGTTTTATTTAATATATAAGGAGTTTATTCCACATTTTGATAATCGTATATAAAAAGTTATTTTTATCAATTAAATTGTTAAATTATAATTTATATTACCTTGAATATTTATGTTAAATTTTGTTAAAATTTAGTAACATTAAGAAAATAATCAATTTATTTATATTTTAGTATATTTTAAAGAATATATATTATGTCAATTTAAATTACTATAACTCACGCATTATATTCAATTAACTAAGCTATACTCTTTGCTTTATTCCATTAAAGTGAAGATGATATATGTAATTTGAATCCCTCCTCGATAACTAATAAATTGGTTGAATTAGTTAATGTGGTGGGTCAAGTCTTTGGTCGAATTCAAGGTCCCATTTTAATTACATATTTAATTATAACGATGTAAAACTTAATGTTAGCAATTAAATATTACAGTTACGTACGTATACATTCCTTTAAGTTCAATAACTATCTTTCTTCCGAAAAAGTATGTTTAATAAATACTTTTTTTTCCTTTTTTTATCATCCTCATATTATTGAATAATTGCTACGAAATGCAAAAGAAAAATTTGTTCTATGTATACTCTTTTTCATCACATCAGCTCTCTACCTATGAAAAAATGGGGAGAGTTCGAAGGACTTTCAACTTGGTGAAGTAAATATGAAGAATAGATTGTTTCTCTTCTGATGAAGATAGTTTTTCTTCTGTTGTATTATTATTACTGGATAGTTAATATTTTTTACAACAGAGAAAATGAAACAGATGCAGACTTGCAGAGCGTGGGGACAAAAAATATTGAGAGGGAGTTAATAGTTTGCAGCATTTTAATTATATACCGCAATGACTTAAATACTAGGTTCATTTTTTCTCCCAAAAAACTTGTTATTTTAATTTGTTTAAAATACTAACAAAATAGTGATTTTTTTTATAAAAAAAAAAAAGTTAAAACTCACTGAATAAATACTCATGCTTGATTTACGTTATTAGAGAAAAATAATTGCAATATTTTACCAGCTTTTAAAGAGAATATTATTAATAAAAGAATTATTTCATCAAACTAATCCATCGCCATAAGTTGGTTATAGAAAAATAGGATTTTACTAACTTTAGGGGGAAAAACTATTTTCTGATAAAGCTATCCCAAGGACTAGGTAATCTCTTCAATTAATTCTCTGTAAACAAATAATGTCCTTATGGTTTTGCTTTCCTAACATGTCACTAAGCTGTCAAAACAGTAATATCAGTATTCTTAAATCTTTGTGATTCCAACATTTGATTCCAAAATTGGAATATATACAATATTTTAATTAATTAAGGAGGGGGGTCAAATTACTTTAAAATAATTTTTCTTCACTTAATAAATTTTATTCCGTATAATCATTAAAATGTTATCAAATTATTTCAAAGATGAATTGTTGAAATTTAATATACCAAAAAATTATTAAGTAAAATAATTTTATCAAAAAGAGTTTCCTTTTTAACAAGAAACTAAAACATAATCTTAGAATTACTTAATCCCATCCGTTTAATTGCATTTAATAACTTTTTATTAGAAAATTAAAAACTATATAACATTTTGCTATCACATTTCATTGCCATTTACTAATGGCTTGAAGAAGAAAAAAATTGAAAAGTTTCCAAAAGTGCCAATTTCATTCCCTAAATGAGATTGAGAATGGGACCAACTAAAACAGAACAAGAGCGCCTAATTCAAATGAAAAAGGAATCCACATTAAATGGTAAAAAAACCAACAAAAAAATGTGTTGCTTGCAAATAATGTTCCCATGAGCGTGCTGTTCTACAAATTAGCAACACTCATTTAATATTTACTGTTACGTCACGCAATCAGAGTCCCCACATGACCTAAACCTGGTCATCTCCTTAAAAACCAACTCCACACACCAACCAAATTCAGTACCGTTGAATAAAAACTTACCAAAACGCGCACAGAACAGAGCAGACATGAACACAAAGTCAAGAACAAAATAAATATTAAAAAAAAAAGGAAGAAAAACGTACACAACCAAATTATGAGGCTGATATTAGAACATCCACCCCACCTCCCCAAATTCTAACATTACCATATTAGGGAGCAGCAATATAAACTAACTAATAATAAATAAAGTCAGAACAGAACATAAAAGAGTTGTTTCCCTTTACCCTTCAACTCCTTCATGGCTTCATCAAAGAGTTGTTACAACTTAGGCAAAGAGGAAGGGTTCCCTAGAGTTGAACCGAGGAGGTCATTGCACAAACTTGCTCCTTCTTGTGTTTTATTCTCTGCCCTTGGACTGCTCCCAGCACTGCTATTTGACAAAGATCCAAACGCTGTCTTTTGCAATATCCCAGTGGGAGAAGACCCTAACGAGGGACTATTGTCCCACCCATTACTCATAAGGTTGAGAGCATTGTTATTGTTCTTGGCACACTGGTCATTTCCACCGTTATTGCTGAGATTCAAAACCTCTCCAAGAGGACCACCCATTGAACCCTCCCATAAAATTGGGATCCAATTAGCTTGCCTACTACCACTGTTTGATTCGTTCATAGCATTCCCAACTCCAAGACCCATTTGAATAGGGTCTAACTCCCTTGATAATCTTAGAGGTGAGAGTGTTACTTTGTCGTTGGTGGGGGAGGAAGTGGATGACATGAAATCTGAGGATGTCATAGGTATTGAAATCGATAGTTCTGTTCTATCTGATTGCATGTCAAGCTCTTGCCACGACCGATTAGACTGGGTTTTGGGCCAGTCATCCATGAATTGCCTAAGGGAATGTTGTGAATCACTCTCTTGGTTATTACTTGCGCTGTGTGAAGACCCAAAGATTCTTGTACTCAACAAGGTGGGACTTTTCTGCGAAGGGTTGAGTAGTGAATCAGAAGTAACAACCCCAAACTCACTCCTTGAGGATTCTTCATATGGGATCTGTTGTTTTTGAACCACAAAGGGGTTTTCCTTCGGTTTCAGGTCAGCAAGTGCATCACTGACCGGGATTATTCTCTCACTGCCATTCTCCTTGTTATTCATAATCATCCTGCATGCACGGTCAAATCACCATTTAAATTTCACGATGCTAATCCTTGATAATTAAAAACACATTTTTGCAAACACAAGCATTTTCTTTATTTAATAATAACTAGGAAGATTGTTAAGGTAATGTCAATTATTGTTCCTTAAATTATAGTTTGGCTTTGCACAAGAAAAAAGTAAGATGATTGACACGCCTAGAGCGTCTTTTCTTAAAAGGAATCTCAACCACTAATAATAATGACGAGTCACCATCAGGCCGTATGGACGATGATAACAATAATAGTAGCAACAGATTCCTTATTCCGTCCTTACACTCCTAAACCAAATGAAAGGCGAAGCCAATTAAGATATATGCTAAAAGAAGTCAGAGTCGGTACTCACCTATTGATGTTGGGAGGCGCAGCAGAAGTATCAGATGCAAGAGGGTGCATATTCTTGGGTTGGTGTTGCGCAAAGGATGGTGCAGTAGTGGTTCCGGGCACCACGAGGTTGTTAGTGGGGACAAGCTTTGAAGTGGTGGTGGTGGTGGTCCCGGTGAGGGCATGGCCTGATTGGCCTTCCACAGGCTTTCTTGAACGATGGCGTCCTCTGTTCATGTGCCGCTCGCAGTACTTCTGATCCACAACGGCATCTCTCGAGCACCGCCATTTCTTCCCATCTGTTCTCCTGCACCTTCCTGGCTCCGGATCTGTGCTGTTCGAGAACCCCAGATGGAAACCCCCCCATCCCACTGCATTCATAAAATTACCAACTTTCACTTTACTTTTCCATAAACCATTAACACAAACTCCAAATTATGCAATGCTTAAGTTCATATAATCTCTTCCCAATAAGTTTATACAAGTTGAATATGTAACAGGGTGACTTGATCTCAACATTTCTAGTTAAGTTAGAATGAAATTACAGTTAAGTCGAAACGATCTAATACTAAGAATATCGGTTAAATTAGAATAATCTAATACTAGTTAAGGTGGACTAATCGGGTACTGTTTGGTAGTTAATTTTGTTTAACTTATTTTATTATTTTTCTTTTCTCAAAAGTTTACTGAGAAAATTATCTTTAAGGTATAGTTATATTAGCTTGAGAGAATGGAATAGAAAGGAAGAGAACTTACTGGCATTGTTGGTTCGGAGGAGACAGGGTGAGAAGTTGTAGAAGCCAGCAGATTCGAGGGCTTTCTTGATGGGGATGAGGAGATGAGATGGAACGGGGACATTGGCTGTTATGTACTTGTAGATCAGGGCTTGGTGTTCTAGCTCCATCCACTGTGATGGAGTGAAAGGCCCTCTTGCTCCCGCTAAAATCCCATGCATGTTCCCGGAATTGAAACCTGTAGAGAATATGACATGACACACAAAGATAAGGCCAAAAAGGAAGAGCTAGCAAGCGCGTGGCAGGAGGAGGAGAGTAGTAATGATAATAATAAGGTTTTTCCTGCTTTGATTGAAGAAATAACAGTGACATTGCGTGAGGAAGAGATGGAAAGGGAAAGGGAAAATTTTGGGGAAAGAGGGTGCAGAGCCAATCAAAACTTGGACCTTTATTTCTTTCATGCTGGTTTTCATGTATTTTTCTCCTTTGGTATTCTCTAGTTTACTGTGCAAAATGTTACCAAAAACCCGTCCCCCTAAAACGGGAAGAGGAATTTTTTGGTTCACTTTTTTCTTGACATGACTCAAAAACAGAGACCACTAGTATATTTCCATGAAAAGACCCTCCACCGGTACTGTAGAATCAGACCATGACAACCCATATTTCAGCTTCCACAACGGATGCCGTTTTCCCCAAAAACCCACAAACAAACACTCAACAAAAATCCAAAACTTGCCACCTAAATACAAATCCAACACCCCATGCTAGCTACCACCCCAGACACCTAAAACACCCCTTTTCCCTTATCTTTTAAAATAAAAATGTGCTTGATTATCCCCGTCCCATCCCTTCTTTCAAAATACAAAACAAGCTCAAAAATACATTTTCATATATAATGCAATATACCTGTATTTCTGTTGTAACTAGATAAATGGTGGAGAGAATAAGGGAATGAGGCATTTGGGGATGCCTTGTCCAGTACCAAAGGCTCCGATTTTTGAGAAGAGAAGCTGAGCATTTGTGGAGCATTAGATCTGAGTAGGGAGGTGTTGTTCATGTGGTGGAAGAGCATTGGTTTGGAAGCAGAAATGTCAGCACCGTGATCATGATGATGAGTCTTGGCCAGTTTGGAACTCCTCCAGTCATCTTCAGTGGCGCCAGATCTCTCCTGCTTTAGGAACCCAGATCCATACCACTTGTGCTTGGCTTCAGGATCTGAAGCAAGAGGGATACCAAAGCCAGTAGCAGTGTCCGAACCCACCAACCCATCCAAGCCCACAGCCCCAAGATCCATATAAATAGAAAAGCTAGCCCACAGAGAACTAGAGTAAGTGTAGCATTAAGCTGGGGAAAGAGAAAGGGAAATGGGGTATTATGTCTTCATGGGACAACAACAGTACACAAGAAGCTGTTCCAGTTGGGGAAGGAAGGGGCATCATAGGGAAAAAAACACAGCAGATATGCTTGACACCTTAAAGCTAACCTCAAACTGGAAACCGGACTGGTTTTCTTTTGAGACTTGATGTCTTGACAAAGATAAAATAATTGGAGAGAGAGAGGAAGAAAAAAAAAAATACTGGTGGGGGAAGATGAAACTGACTCGACAAAGTTTATATCTTGGGCGTACTAACAAAAATATCCAAACCTTTTTTTTAAATAACTAGTAACACCAAAAATTATTATGTAAATCAGATTACTGAATGTCTACGTCTCATTTAATTGCTATATAAGATATATTTAAATTTTTTAATTTGTAAAAATTAGTTAGTAACTATGTGGACATGATACCACCCAATAATGTATCTTAGTAATACACCTTCTAACATTAATTTTTTAATATATTTTATCTCATTTGTTAGAATTTACATTATGAAATAAAAGGTCATTAAATAGGATATAAAATTTATATTTTTAATAAACTTCAATTAATTAAAACATGTGTATTCAAAAGAGTATATTTGCTGACATTTTTTTATAACAAAATTTAATTACAGTCTTTTACGTGAAATTCATATTATTTTTTTATTAGAATGTGAAAGTTATCTTAATAATATATATAAATATATATTACCACAAAACTAAATCTTTGACGTTGAAAAAATAATATTGACTACACTTAATAAACCACAACTATATTTTGTACTTTTTTTAATATGATTGGAAATATTTCTTTCATGTCTATGGTCGTGGAATTTAGTATACTATTATTGTTATATTTAGTGTAGCTTTGGTTAGGGTCACACTTTACTCTAGTTCTGTTCTGGTTCGTTTCAGAGGGGGCAGTTTTGGAAACCTATTCAAGAAACCTTGAGATGTAGCTGGACTGAGAAGGATGGGAATGTCATTTTATGCAAAAGTATATTCACACTTGTCAAAGACTACGTCTTTGGACAACCTCATTTTTGTTTTTACTATTAAACAATAAATAAATAAAGTAGTATATTATTTTATCAAAAGTCAATATTGTACTCGACATTTTTATCGTGTGTTCTTGAATAGAATTCGATGCATTAAAAGAGGTAGATGGGGATATTAAAAGAGGTTGTATTAATTTATCGAAAAACAAAAGCACGGGTATTGAATCAATAACTGTGACAGTAATACATTCACACGGTTGAGCTAAAAAAGCAAAAATGGTGCAAAAAGAATAAGCCATTTTAGTAATTTTTTTCTCTTCAATATAACAATTATTTTCATTGACATGTATAAAATGCATTAAAAAGATACATAATATTAGAAAAATGTGAAGTAAAAAAATAACATTAAATCTGGAGACACATTAATTTACCCAGTTGTCCCATAATAATAGTTTGGCTTGCAAAGTCCATTAGGACTTAAGAGTGTTTGTTTGGGACTTGGGGAGGGGTTCTCAGTTCTCACTCTTCTTAAAGTTAAAATCCAAAAAGGAGTGGTGGGCTGCATGCACAAAGATGCACCATCACGTGACACCTCAAAAAATTCTACCTCATCTATGTCCTATTCTCTTCTCAGCTATCATTTCTCAGTCTTAGCCATACACGATAACAGCTAATCTCTACCTCGGTCTGTGTAGTATATACAATATATAAATATTAAACATAGGTTACTTTCTAGTGTGTATAACTTAGAAATAACAGGACTCCATTCTTTTTACGAAAATTTTAGTTCTAATTATATATATATATATATATAATATAATTTAAAAATAATTAATCAAATTTTAGATTGAGATTAATTATTAATAAACTGATAAATATTTTATGTTAATAACAATTAAAATAAAAAAGATAACTATGTGCTTTAAGTATATAATTACATGAATTTAACGAGTACAAAAGCATATCAAGAGTGATTAAGTAGCATATAAGAGTGATTAAGTTTTTAAATTTCAAGAAAATAGTCTATTATCGATGATTATTGATTAACAAAAAAAGGTAGAGTAAGATCTCTGTTTTTCTTTCTGTAGCCAATGACATAACTTGAGGACAAAGTATCCAATTGCTAAGTATAACAGAAGATAAAAAAAATAAAACATTTTCTTTTATGCGAGTGGTCAATTATATCCATTTTGGTGTCTTCAAAGCCTTTTTATTTATGAATACCTTCTCCATCCACTTTTGTTGATCATAGATTCATAGTGAATAACTCTCTCATAAAGACAGTCGCCCCTCGTGCTCAAAAAAATTAAAGAGTTAGGGCACGGTTTTTCTTGCTGCCCGACAGGGTTCATATTCTAACATCATCATTTGGGAGAGCAAGACAACCTAATTGAACCAAAATTAGACAACCTAAACAGAAATAGATATCAATTGGTTTGATTTTAGGTAGTCATAGGAATGGGCCCCCATTCTTTACCTTGTGATTATAATCATCCTTGCCCAATTGCCCCTTATAAAAAGGAGTGGCACGTTTGGTAAAAATAGTACATAAGTTAGTTTAAAGATGAAAGTTTGGTGCTGTAAGTTGAAAAATGATGAATTAAGTAAATATTTGGTAAAATTAATTATTCAATTAGTTAATAAAAATAAAATTTAACAAAAAGGCATATATAATTATTTGGTCAAATTTTATAATTTGTTACGCCATTTTTTAATAATTATAGTCTTGTATTTTAATTTATTTTAAATAATTATCATCCAAAAATATTAAGCTAATATTTTTTAATTCTATTATCATTTATAAATATTTTTATTAAATAAATTTGTGTTATTATTTTGACAATTGCAGATATTATAGAAAAATCAAATTTAATGATTATGTTCATTTTCTTTAAAAAAAGATTAATGATTTATTGCATTCTGAAGTAATGGATATTGTGGTTTTTCTTTAAGTGTGTATCTTCTTTCTAGCAAAAAATATATTTTTTATTATAAAAAATTAAAGTTAATTTAATTATTTTTAATTTTGTATATGTAAGAAAATTTTAATAACATTTTAGAGAAAACATGAAGTTATGCTTCTTTCTTTAGGATTTTAATTTTTTTTAGTAAGATCATATATTTTATAAAAAAATGTAATAATTAAAATAAACAACATAATGTTAAAATAATAATTCCATAAAATAGTTTGGTGGCAACAAACGATGGCGTGACCAGTTGGAGCACCATTGTAACCACGATAGGTCGGTGAAGAAAGTACTAGAATTATTAAATGTGATTAAGGGATTAAGTATTAGGCTTCTTTTTAATATAAATAAATGAAAAAATATTATGAAACATATCAAGAATAAAAGTGAAAAAACTTTTTTAAATTGGAAGTTGAAAAACTGAAATATTATATTATAAGTTACTAAAATAAGTTATTTTATCAAATGAGTTAATTTTACTTAAACAAATTTTTCAACTAATAAAATAAACTTTTATCTGTTGAAAAGTGTTGTATAAACACACATATATTAGAACAAGTGTTACAACATTTGGGAGATTTGGGTAATGAAAATCAAAAGCACATGACCGGTGACAACCCTCTTAATTAATAATACTAATTAATAAAGAACAAAAAATAATGAGCACATGACCTCCAAGTTATTTATAGTTATATAAAAGCACATGACCACCCCATGTATATACAATACATAGTGCATTTGTCATCTTGTATAAATTATCTTTTAATAAATATTTTTAAAGTCAAATTGACCAATATTTATCAATTCAGTGGCATGTTCAAGACATGAGGATCAATATATAAATCAAAAGAACATATATCTTGATGGTTCTATTTTATATTGCTTGGTGTTCCTTTATTAATAGATCTCGTATATTGCGATTGTAAAGTTTCGTGGCAAACAACGACATGAGAACTGAGAATGAAGCAGATTTCCTTTTTTGTTAAACTTTCATGCACCCAAGGGAAGAAAAGCACGGTATGGAGAAGGAAGAGAATAAAGGTTAGGAATGTTGGAAGGTGACGTTGCTTTCTTGTGTCCCTTATTTTAGAAAAATTCAAATGGGGCAAATACATTATTAATTTTTGGCTAGAGAACCAGCTAAGAGTGGGTCTTTCTGTTAATTAAATGAACACCAAAGGATGAAATTCCCCAATTCCTGAACATCCGTTATCCATATATGGAACATATATGTCTGCAACAACATACCTGCCAATCAAACATAGAAACAGTTAAGACTGGGAGAAAAGGTTGAGTTAGCAAATTAAGCTTATTTCATGCCATTTTTCCCTCCTGACTTTATTCTTCCAAATTCGAAATGGTTCGCATAAAGAAGGAATAGAACATTTGTAGTTTATAATTTTTGTAGATAAAACAGCAGCACTCACTCCCATTATTATAGTATTTCCTTAACGTGAAGAAAAGTAAGCTAGCAGTGTAAACCAATCTTTGCATTTGACTAGTGAGACCCCACGATGGTCCAATGACCAAACTAGCAGGGAACAGAGATTTATTTCCTTCGATTTTCAGACCCCAAAACAAGATCCGCATTCATTAAGGTGGAGGACCGCATCGGCTTCAAAATCGTTGGTACAGTCACAAAGTGCTTGCCCAAAAATTAATATAGGCATGTGTCGGAGAAAAGATAAACCAAAACATCGTATTCTAATTATCGGACATTTAGCAATTAATTAGTTTAGGATAGATATGAAGCGGGGACAAGGTGGTGTTGGAGAATGTTTCGAGGGAGCACACCCAATTACCCAAATGCTTGTCGCTTTTTAGAGAGCATTGCCATTTCTGTTCCCATTTAACTGAGCCAAAAAATATAGGTGGAAGTGGAAGCTGCATTCAAGTGCTTTCATGCTGCCATTAATATGCATGTACAATTCTACACTCACTTTCTCCCCGTGGCGGGATTCAATTCAACGCCATGTTCCCATCCTAATCAACATAATTACACCCATCCTAATCAACTTAATTACATGCATACTAAATTAGACTAGTACTTTGCTCATGTAGCCAAATCAATCTCACCTCGCTAGCTTCGTATAATTGTATTTTGTATGTATGCTCATTAAATTAAACTACTTTATATATTTAATTAATCAACTCTGTTGCTTAAACTTTAAATGAGACACGAGTTATAATAGGATGATTATCTTGTTTTATACGAGATATCCTAAAATTGTCTTGTACATCTCATGAGTAGGAAAACCAATT